AATTGAACAAACTGGCGCACAGTGGTCCGAGCGGTAAGAAAACCCGATCGAAAATATTATTTTGGTGTTAGCAATTAGCTATCTTTATGAAACTTGGCATATGATTATAAGACCAAAAGGGTAATGTTGTGTCAAAATTTGAATTAAATTCGTCAACCGGAAGTAGTACTACGCAAGCAGTACTTTATTTAAATTCATACTCATTTTCTTTTCATATAAATTAGGACTTTAAAGAAGAATATTACTATAAAATTTTGTGCAAAACATTAGACGTATATTACTTCACATTTTTTTGTGTAATTACGTGATCGCAAATTCCTATCTAAATTGTTTTATAGAGGACCTATACCGGATGTCTCACGTAACTGGTTCGTTAGAACTTTTTTAGGTACCACTATTCGTAGCGGTTTGAAATTTTGACAACATGGATTGTTCATTCGAAGCTTTCGATCTAAAATACTTTCAAGATGGCCGCCACTTCCGGTCTACCGGATGTAGACCACAACTTCGTTATTTTAAATGGAATGCTATAGTTTTTAATGCACCTTTTAATTATATTCGACAAAATAAGTTGACTTTGATAAAAGTTATTGGTACCTACCATTTTTCGTTTTCGAGTTATTTTGTTTTTAAGTTTTTCTTTGGCAAATTACTTTATGCTCTTTAAAACCTTATATCTCAGCCAACGTTCATTCAAAAAAGCTCTAAATTGGCACGATTACTCTTGAGATGTTGTCAAACAGATTGTCATTTGTTGTATTAAAGTATCTTATACAGGGTGGTCAAAAATTGAATTATCGTTTCTCCATATTCAATGGTAAGAAAGTCGAAAATTTTAAATGGAACGCCCCATATTTTTTTACCCTATCAGAAATGGAATTTGATAAAAATGTGGCAAAATTAATTGGCAGAATTAGTTGGTTAGATAGCTCAATTTTACTTAGCTTTTACTAAAAATGTTTTAAGAACTATTCGAGAATAAACTCATCGCTCTTAATTTGAAGTGATATTGGAGACCATAATACGTAAGTTTGAAGCCTACTTATAGTAGAATTTTCCCATGATACTGAGATAGTCCACATACATTTCAAATTATTCGAGATAATATAAAATATTTTGTTATATTCACCAACATAACAAAATTTATCTCAATTTGTGTGAGTCTTCTTCATTTTCTAGATCTTGTTCCTCTATATTTACTTCTTCATCATTATTGTCTTCTTCTTCACTTTCTTCATCATCATCATCTTCTTCTTTACCTTCCTTTTCTTCTAGAGATTTGTCCAGTATAAGTAAATTTTTCATGTCTTCATTCATATTTTTATATCTTTCTGAACATTCTTTATAAAAGTTACTAATAAATGGATCGGAGCTCAGTAATAGTCTTTTAAATAAATCTTCATTTGTTTGAAGTCTACCACATTTTCTTGTGTGACACTCTCTAAATCTGCGTACTTGTTTGTTTTTTGCTTCTTGATAAATAAGATCCACAATTATGTGTTAAGTAATCTTTGACTGCCAATTTTTTGGTTAAGGCGCACGTTGGCGCAAGATTTCTTTCTTATGCTATGTACACCATACCTTCAGCAATAAAAAAATGTTAGCTACAATTGTTCGATTTTGTTCGCTCGCAAGATATTTAATTTAAAAGATTGAATGGTCAAAAAATATAAGTATTTATTGACGTCAATAGAAATGGTTGTAATTTTTTTCAACAAACATCTTTTGAAATTTGGAAAGTCGTAAAATGAAGACCTTTCTGTACTTTATAAGAAACCAACGACACAATATTTTCAAGTAGTGATATACCATCTTTTTTGTTTTCTAAAGTTGTGTCGTTTTCTAAAAAATTTCCTTATACAAAATAAGGTAATTGTAATAGCAATTTATTTCGCGCAGTAGCTATTATAAAACACCAAAGACTTCATAAACTTCACTAAAAGTCTATTAATAGTTAAAATATATGTAACATTTAAAAAAACAACACTATAAAATTTTTGTTTTCAATTGATTTTCGATCGGGTTTTGAGTGTTTTCGGACCACTGTGTGGCGCCATCTCATATTGGCAAAATCCTAACCTTAAGATATAAATATACAATTCTCTACACAATCTGAATTGAATTGAATCTTAGTTCCACTATTGAATCATAGATGTCGCTTTTCCAAACCGACGAATGTAAATCAATTTTAAAGCCATCTTTTTTTATACAACTATTAAATCATAGATGTCGTCACTAATAATTTTATATATACTTTTGAATTTACCTATATATATGCATTTATTTTTGATTTTTATCATTTATAATGATTTATACTTCAGGAAAATAAATAATTTGTTTAAATTTTTAATAGTTAATTTTTATTATCTGTAGTTTGAGTAAAATACATTTTCCAACTTCATTATTAGTCATTTATACCGGCTCTCTTGGTACACTCTACTTGGTATTTTATTCTTTTATACAAGATCTCGCATTTTTTTCTTTATACAAGTATATTATATAAAAAATACAACTGGTTCACTTTTATTTATTATTATTTTCGTTACTTATTATTTTTTTGGAAATCAACTATTATTTTATTTTCTTATTTTCTTATCCCGTCAGCATATACATTTATTATTTAATTTTTTTTAAATTTATTTATTTTCGAGAAGAGTATTACAATACAGTATAGTAAAAGTTTAGGGTTGGGCGTTTCGTTTTAATTGGTGGCTGAATATATTACAATTTCTCTTTGGTTATACTAGCCAAGTGTATTTTTGTTCAATAAAAACTAACCGTAACGTTAATTAACGTAATTATATTAATTAATTAATTAGGGTATTTAATTAATAATAATAAAAAATAAAGAAGGAAGAAACAATCTTATTTTTTTTACAAAAATATCAATATATACGATTTTTTTTACTAAAAACTAAAAAAAGAAAAAAAAAACAAACAAATATACAAAAATATTCGATACAAAGTGGTTCTTTTTACAAAAATATGTTTTCTTTTTGGTATCAAAAAAAAAAAAATAAAATTAGAATACAATCAAACAAAAATATAAAATTTATGTACAACATTTTTTCGTTCAAATTTTTATACAGAGAGAAGAGACAAAAACGAGATTCATACGAGATTCACTTACTTTATTACATAATTAATAATAATATCTTTTTTCATATATAATTTTTTTTTTCATCGTATAATATTTAATTTTTTTAATTCAAAAAATCTCACATACCGTTCCAGTTTCAGACGTTTATCTTATTTCAATATCGTAATAATAATAAATGCTAACGAGTTTTTTTCTTTTATTTTACGGAACGTTGTTGCTAAATAGTCATTAATATTTATTTATTCATTTTTTTTTCTTAATTTTTAATCTTTCATTTAAAAGTTTTCTTAATATATCAAATAGCTATTACAATTATTGTCTCTCAACAAACATTTTTTCTTTACAAATAGCTCACGACTTAATTAATTATAGGTACGTAATCTTGGAATGGCTTTTACGTTTTTAATCCAAATTTACTTATTATTTAATAAGCGACACTTTTATAAAAAATAATAAAACAAAACAAAAAAATTAATTATAAGAAATTGAAAAAAAATATTGTAAAAACAAAAATATATATATAATAATATATGTACAGCATGGTTTTAAATTATAGATACAAACTTTATCATATAATAATTCTACCGAGCGATAGATGGCGTTCAATACTAATATTTTAATTAATTAGTGTTCCTGTAACTCGTGGCACAATTTTAATCACAAATACTAGAGTTAAAATGTTAAGTTAAGAAATTTTTAAACATTTTCTTAAACATTTTCAATATGGTTTGTCTTAGAAAGATAAAATTTGGTAAATAGCGCAATTCTATCATGAAAAATTGTCAATCAATGCTATACAGGGCGTTCACAAAGATTATTTCATTAAAACTTTTTATTATGTCATAAACCCTTAAATTTGACAACTGATTCTAAAAGCCTATTTCATTTTAAAATTATTTTCACTCTTAGAAATTTTTGATTAGACGCATCGTTTTAGAGTTATTCACAAAATGATACAACCTCGTCCATGAAATCATAATCGAGGTTTTATCTTTTTGCGAATAACTCGAAAACGATGCGTCTAATCAAAAATTTCTAAGAGCAAAAATAATTTTGAAATAAAATAGGCTTTTAGAATCAGTTGGAATTTTTTAGGGTTTACGATATAATAAAAAAGTTTTAAGGAAATAACTTTTGTGGACACCTGTATAGCATTGATCCCGTGGTTGCATACTATCAAAAGTGATCTTAAACGATTTCTCATGATAACATTGCATTGTTTGCCAAATTTTATCTTTCTAAGACAAGCCATATTAAAAATATTTAAGATAATGAAAAAGTAGTAAGCCGATTTTGGCAGAACGAGATGTTAAGATCATACCACAGAAATCAGAAAATATAACCCGCATCGAAATCATGTATTAATAAAAGTTATAGCAAATTTAATTTTCTACAAGATCGCTCTGTTTTGTTTTTGCTCTATGAGTCTTGGAAACAGAGATATTGTGCAAAAAGGACTAAACCATTTCGACTGAGGTTGTGTCATATATTAACAATTGTAGCGCCTCGGCCGCAAGCAATCTCCTTAACACAAATTCAAATTTTTTCAAATGAATCTACCCAGTAATAGATGGCGCCGTGTTTTTAGTAATAATTATTTACGTATTAGACAAATTTTGGAACATAATTTTCCAAAACAAAATTAATTAATTTAATTGGATGAAGATAAATAAGAATCAATATAAAGTTGTAAGTGGTGGGAGTTCAATGGGGGAAAATTCAGTTAAAATGATAAAGTTTGTAGCTATAATTTAGAACCACCCTATAAATTTTCGGTAATAACTTATCCACCGTTGACAAAAATACAAATATATATAAATATTATCGATATATTTTTACAGTAAAACTAACTCTTTTTAATTTATTTTTTTACACTATGTATAATATATATTTATAATAGATTTATATACGCAATATAATAATATTTAAATGCTTATATAAAAAAATTGTTACTTTTAAATTATTTTCGTTTATCGTATTTTTTCTTGTCGTAACTTGCACCATTGTTCATTGTATTGTTAACGTGTTTTTTTTACGTTTCCTTTCAATATTAATAACCGTAATAATAATTATATAGTATATAATAGTACTATTATAGTATTGTCATGGTAACACTTTTTTTCATTACTTCATCTAAATATATCATCTTATTGTACTGTTCTTTGAGATAAAATAAAAAAATTATTTTATTTATCCTTTTTTGGCTAAATTAAAGGGCGTAAAAAATTTGAATTTCTCATTTTCGTCGATGTCTGCGAAACCAACACAATTAAGCCCTCCAAAAATCACAATTACGTATTTAGCAAAAATCTCTTAAGTTTTAATTAAAAAAATATGGCACTAAAGCTTCTCTACAATATATCTTTGTTAATTTTTTTTTTACATTATCTACAAAACCACACCCTGATTCAACAAGATGTATCTTTCTGTATCAGATCGTTTTTCCTTTTTGGTACAATCACAAAAAAATGGCACGTTATTTGAGGAAAATTGCACTTAAAACGTTAAATTATAAACTAAATTAAAAAAAAAAAATTGCAATCGATATCCCCAAGCCTGCGAAGATCACCGAGTTTTAAATTTAAATTTAAATCATTATTTTTTTTATTAACCTCTACAGGGAAGACAGTTGATTAAAAACTCTCGTATTTTTCTGTACTTAAAGAGGTACTCTTAAAAAAAAAACGAAAAAAATTGTTAATAAAAATAAAAATAATAACTCAACAACGAAAACTATAAAAATATAAAATCGAAAATAAAAAAATCTTAATTATTAGCCCGTTATTTGTTAATATTATATATTTTTTTGAAAATTAATAATTATTTGTAATAATCATTTCTTCTCAACACATAAATGCGGTGTGATGTCTATTGGTTTCAATAACTCGGAGTTATTCTCTGTAGGGTTTGCAATAAGAATACCTGTGGTTCATATGTTGGCTATAAGAACCGGAATGCGAGAATCTCTTCAAACATTTCGAACATTGGAAGGGCTTCTCACCGCTGTGTAATCTTTTGTGTTCCGTTAGGTGATGTTTGTGTTTGAATGCTTTTGGACATTCGTCGCATTTGTGTGGACGTTGACCTAAAATAAACATTAATTAATTAACACTTTTATATATAAAATTTAAAAAAAACTTTAAGTTAGGTAAGTTGAAATGTTAAGATCATGCCACAGAAATCAGAAAATATAACCCGCATCGAAATCATGTATTAATAAAAGTTATAGCAAATTTAATCTTCTTTAATATCGCTCTCTTTTGTTTTTGCTCTACGAGGCTTGGAAACATAGATATTGTGCAAAGAGAATTTTGACAGAACGAGATGTTAAGATCATGCCACAGAAATTAGAAATAATTTCCGGCAAAGATAAATGAATAATTTTTTTTACAAATTAAAGCTAAAGTATTGCTTTATTAGTTGGCGAAATTTCGTTTATTAATTCCTAGTATGTTTTTAGAAAAAAGTTTTTGAAAATATATCAAAAAATAACTTCAATTTTGGGTTGGGTTAGGTTTAAGAATTTTTTTCTCCCAAATGATAAATCTTGGAAGATTAATTTTTTTTACAAATTGAAACTAAACCACTTTTTTATAACCTCAAAAAATTTCATTCGTTAATTCCTAATATTTTTCTAGAAAAGAATTTTTAAAATGAACGATGTCAAAAAAAATCTATTTTATTTTATGTAAACTTTAAGAATTTTTTTCTCATAACCTACAAATCGTAGAAATTTAATTTTGTTTACAAATTAAAGCTCAACTTTTTATTTATAACCTCAAAAAATTTCATTCGTTAATTCCTAATATTTTTCTAGAAAAGAATTTTTAAAATGAACGATGTCAAAAAAAATCTATTTTATTTTATGTAAACTTTAAGAATTTTTTTCTCATAACCTACAAATCGTAGAAATTTTATTTTGTTTACAAATTAAAGCTTAACTTTTTATTTATAACCTCAAAAAAATTCATTCGTTAATTCCTAATATTTTTTTAGGCAAGAATATTTTATCAAAAAAAGAACAATTTCTTCAATTTAAGTTTATGTGTAAAAGAGTGCGAATAAACTTACCTGAATGTTCATATTTATGCCTAGCTAAAGAACTTTGCTTCGAAAATGATTTATCACATTGGTCGCATCCAAACAATCCCTCAACATCTTCTTGGCCACTCAACATTGGACTATCAACGCCTTTAACCACTTTTAACTTTTTATTCCCGCTCTCTTCCACACTTTCTTGCGTCGCATCTCCATCTTCAGACCAAGTCCTCTTCGTGGTCATCAATTGGCTAAAATTTTGCAAATCTTGATTTCCAAATTGAATCAATCTATCCATTGGAACCAAAGACATAGGAACAGAAGGGATAGGTAACTTAGGTTGCGCCAAAATCTGCGCCAACCGACTTCCGTTGTTATAATCTCCCGGCGAAGGACTTCTAATCGGTTCCGAAGAACAATTCGAGCTTTGATAGGGATAATTTCGAAAAGGGGTCGGCGATCTCGAAGATTTTTGGCTTAAATTAACGATTTCTTCGCCCGAATCGGAATTTTGGATCGAATTGGGTGCTGGGGAAGACGCCGGGGATGATTCTCTGGAGGTGTGATCTTTTTTCGTGGATAAATCGAGGGGTTGTTCTGAGATGTAGGTGTCTTTTGGGAGGTAATAAGGACTACGGGGAAGGTTTGAATTAGAATATTTTTGGGGATAACTCTGCTGAGGTGTTGAATAAGGGATTTGAATCAATCTTCCTTCCCTTCGATCTCTAGCCCGAGTATTTTGGAACCAAACTTGAACCACGCGAACTGAGAACCCGATTTGATCAGCGATTCGGATTAAATCCTCGCGTTTGGGTCGCGGATTCATCGCGTAATTATCTTTTAATATTTTTAATTGTTCGTCGGAAATTAAGGAGCGAACGCGAACTTTTCTGCCATCATCGCTGAGTTGGTCTGTTGTTGCGACTCTTTCTCCGTCGATTTCGTTGGAACGCTCGTATTCTTCGTCGGAACCACTCGGGTGATCACTTTCTGATTTTGTATTGATCGCCTCTTCTAATTTTGCTGCTAGTCCTTCGCTTTTCACGTCCATCTCGCAATCGTGCTCGTCCAAAAACGATTGGGACGAAAACGTTTTTTTGCAACCATGACAAAGGAACTCTCTTAAAGGTGATTGGGACAAACTGTTGCAATCGGAAGTATCGGAAGAAAATTTTTGGATATTGGCTTGAAGGAATTCTTTGGTCACCGTGGCTCCTACAGTTTCTAAAATTCTTTTGACAGTTTCGAAATCTCTTCCATTCGTTTCTGGGGTGTTTTCTTGTGGTTCTTCTTTCACTTCGATTTCTTCTTCATCGATGGCTAAATCACCACAACTCGTCGATTTCGATTTGTTTAATTCCCCATCTTCTTCGTTGTGCTCGCTTTTGCAATCGTTCTCGATTAAGTTGGTTTGGGGCGAAACTTTTTGGAGCTTCTCTAAGAACTCCCCGATTGTTGGAATTGAGTACGGAGGTAAAGAGATGCTTCCCATGTTGGGCGGGGGCATATAAAAGGGATGGAATAGTGCCGAAGTGTCGGGGTATTTAGGAAGGATTGAGAACATCCCGTTTTGATTCGGGCTGCCGGCTAAATTGTTGTTTAAAATCCCGGAGTTGTTTCTTTTTTGATTTCTATTTTGATGGGTTTTATCGGCTACCAGCAGGTTGTGATTGCCGTTATTGGCAGCTCGAGTTCTTCCCAATTTTAGATTCATCACCAAACATTTTTTTGATGTCATGTGACTCGAGTATGAACCTGAATGTGAAAAACGTTTCCCACAATTTCCACATTCAAAAGGCTTCTCACCACTATGTATTCTTATATGTTCCTAAAAACAAATTAATTGTTATATATATAATCATACCCATAGAAATATATACAAACTTTAAACGAAAAATGTTTTTATACATACAGGTGTCCCATAACGACATAATCATTTCTTATTTTAAATGACAGGATAAGCTTTTTATTACATATTCTGATTCTACACACAAAAATACGTCGACTTTGATAAGACACGTTGATACTTTCTCTTTGGATATCCTCAAATTGAGCGAAATTGGTCTATCTTATACAGGGTGTTCATAAATGTAACTACTATTTTGTCATATTAATAGCACTTAGTAGTTATATTTTTAAACAGCCTGTATAGGATAGACCGATATAGTCAATGACGCTCTATTTAAGGACATCCAAGCAGCAACTACACCAAATCTTTACTTTCTAGCTCGTTCGGTCGCTGAGAAATTACGATTTAAAAATCATGGTGTTGATTGCTAAAAATTAAAATAACTCAAAAACTAACAACGCTAGGTGTCAATATGTCTTATTAAAATCGACGTATTTTTGTGCGTAGAATCACAATATGTAATAAAAATTGTATCAATGCAATTAAAATAACAATGTTTAGTCCGGTACGTCGATATAGAACACTCTGTATGTATAACAATATTTTCGGTTTATAGTATGGTTAATTTCCTACAACTTTTATCTAAAGAAAAATTTTGTATCCCGACTCGTTTGTAATTTATGTACTTTGTCGCTTTCGTAGATACAGGGTGTCCTATTATAGTCATAGGAGTATCTATATTATATATATATAAAACTCATAGGATTATATATATGGTCATCGTAGTCACAGAACTGTATAGATTTATAGCCATAGTCATAGGAGTAGATATATATATAAATTAATAATTACCTTTAAGTGATGTTTAAATTTAAAAGCTTTATCACACTCGGTGCATTTAAATTTTCTTAAAACGGCGCTTTCATCGTGACTGATCATGTGCCTTTGAAGCCGGTACACATTCGCAAAAGTTTTGTTACAAACTTTGCAGGACTGCAACAAAAAAATTTTTTAAGCTTCGAATTAGAGTCGGGGATAAAGTTGGAGTTAGCAGGTGTTTGTTAAAGTTACAAAACCCCGTTTTTATCATTAAGGATTATTTAGGGCAACAAAAAAAAATGATATGATCATCTCGGTGGTTCACACGGTCTTGCAACAGAAGATAGAAAAGAGGTCCCGCAACATATGCGCGCGTAAGCGGCATATTTTCGTAACTACGCGATGCTGTCAACGGCGACCATTAATGGCACTTAGCGCCGACTGAAAATAGACCTCTACGTGCGTATATGTGTGTATACATACACATGTGTATGTATTTTTTTTTCTTGATGCGCTTCTTTTAAATCGGAGTTTGTTAGTTACACGTGAGTACATAACGCACAATCAAAATAAACTTTCGCAAAAAAACAACATGATAATTAATGATCACAATTTGATACGATATTACTCATCGTTGTTAAAATTTCTTTGTTACGTAAACATGCCGGTTAACCCGAAATGTCGCGACCTCTGTTAAGTTGTCTTAATTGAAGAGCGCCCATGCAGAAAACGGGAGGAGAAAGATCAACTCACCACTTGACCGTTTGGAGAGTGCAACAGTTCGTGCTTCTCCAATTGATCCTTGTTGATGAAACTCGCAGAACACTGAGAACATGGATGTGAACCCCCTGCACTACCACCTCCCGATGGAATAACCACCGAGGAAAGATTCGGCGAACTCGAGATTTGCCCGTTTTCTTTCGGACACGTCTCCATGTGAACTTTGAGGGCTTCGAACGTATGAAATCCCTTTTGGCACTGAGGACATTTCATGAAGTAATCCGAGTTAGATGGGGATGGTAACTCTTCGGGATCGCGGATTCCGTTTGAAGTTGATATTGGTACTAAAAAGAATTAAAAAAAAAAAAATTTATTAACTTATGATGATTTAGGTACAATTAAGTACAGGTGTGATCGAAAGAAATAAGACTAAATAAACAGGTGTTTTAGATACGCCCACTTTAGCTACCTGTAGCCAATCAGAGGTGGGAAAATGAAAATCCCCACCAAAATTCAAAAAGTATTTTAAAAAATTTCTTACACTGCCCAGTTGTGTTCCATACATTGGCTAAACTCCACAATTTATACGAGTAATAACTGTCATAACACCCGAACATCATATTACTTCTCGCAACTACTTCCATTTCACGTTTTATTTTATCATCATCATCATCAGTTTTAATTAATTAATTTTTTTTTCAAACACCTTTTACTGTTTCATATGAACTACCTAAGATTAATACAAAAAAAACTAGTGTTGGTCCACCACGATGCAACACTACCTTTCGAGTCACAGGTCGGTGCGATACTGGAGCGAACGTGCTCGACCCATTCTATTCTGCTGTGTGGGTCTCTCGGTTTAGGAGAAGGAGAAGAGGATTCACAGCCTCGGCTTCAATCGCGGTTTTCCCCCACCAAGGGGCGCGGGCGACCACTGCGCCGCCCCGGCGGTACTCGGCGACGCCCCGAACCGATTCGAGCCGGCGCGCGATATTTAGCAGTCTGAATCACTACTAACTTACTACCGAGGAGATCTACGTATGATGACGTCACCCAAATCTAACCTCGATACCGAGAGATGGGTTTTTGTTTCTGTCACGTTTTATAACTAAGGTGCCTTGATTCGATTTCTGGGTCGAATTCGTATCAAGTACGTGATATTTTATATATATATATCTCGTTATTGAGATTACTGAGTCATTACACAACTTTTTCGCTCAGAAAACCTTTTTAAATGACCCCAAAACACATGTATCGGATATCTACATAACTAAAAAACTTTTACTACAAAATCCCAAAGTAAAGAATCACCCTGTATATATTGACAAATTGATTTATATATAACTCGAGAACTAAAAATGTTAGGAAAAATTTTTTTGGATAAAAATTGTTTGTAATGAACCAATAAAATGTAATTTATTATCCGTCTATGATTATTACCAACCTAACCGATTTAAAATCCAAAATATGTCAAATTTGATGAGTTCAAACAAAATGGTTCGTAACTAAAAAATGAATGATGATAGGTGAGAATGTTTTTTGTAAAAATGATTTGTAATTAATCCCTAAAACATGATCCATAAATAATTGGTGCATAACTATTTCAAATTTTTGTGTGTAAGCCATAAAATAGAGTAATTGAGGCTTTTGAGTAATGATTTTTGATATAACTCGAGAATTAAAAGTGTTACGAAAAAATGTTGTTGATGAAAATTGTTGGTAATGAAACAATAACGTAATCCATAAATAATTATTATACAAGTATTTCGAATTTTTCGATATAAACCATAAAAACTTGAAAATATCTTAATATAACGTTTTTAAATAATAATTTTTATTATAACTCAAAAACTAAAAATGTTAGGAGAAAATGTTATGGATGAAAATTGTTTGTAATGAACCACAATAACGTAATCCATAAATAATTATTATACAAGTATTTCGAATTTTTCGATATAAACCATAAAAACTTGAAAATATCTTAATATAACGTTTTTAAATAATAATTTTTATTATAACTCAAAAACTAAAAATGTTAGGAGAAAATGTTATGGATGAAAATTGTTTGTAATGAACCACAATAACGTAATCCATAAATAATTATTATACAAGTATTTCGAATTTTTCGATATAAACCATAAAAACTTGAAAATATCTTAATATAACGTTTTTAAATAATAATTTTTATTATAACTCAAAAACTAAAAATGTTAGGAGAAAATGTTATGGATGAAAATTGTTTGTAATGAACCACAATAACGTAATCCATAAATAATTATTATACAAGTATTTCGAATTTTTCGATATAAACCATAAAAACTTGAAAATATCTTAATATAACGTTTTTAAATAATAATTTTTATTATAACTCAAAAACTAAAAATGTTAGGAGAAAATGTTATGGATGAAAATTGTTTGTAATGAACCACAATAACGTAATCCATAAATAATTATTATACAAGTATTTCGAATTTTTATATATAAACCATAAAAAGTACCTAAATCGCGAAATTGACGTTTTTAAATACCTAATAATTTTTTTTATCATAACTCGAAAATTAAAAATGTTAGAAGAAAGTGTTGTTGATAAAAATTGTTTGTTATGAACCAATAAAATGTAATCTATAAGTGATTATTACCCGCTTACGATTGTTACCAACCTAATTAACTTGAAATCCTAAAAATTTTAAATTTGATGCATTCACTACAAAAATCGTTCATAATTAACAAAATAATTATTGTAGGTGAGTATGATGTTTATAAAAACTGTTCATAATAAAGCATAAAAACATTATCCATAATTATTTAGTAAAAATAAAGAAAAAATCTGAAAGATGTTAAAATTGATGGTTTACATTAAATAATCAATCATTATTCAAAAACTATAACCGATCGAGTAACATTTTATGCATGAAAATTATTCGCAATGAATCAAACATGCATAATCCATAACCTAGAGCCATAAGTAGTTTGTAAATATTAAGCAAAACCCTTTAAAATATCATAATGTATGGTTTACATTAAAAATATACCATAAATCAAAAACTAGTTTCTATCGAGAAACACATTATGTATAAAAATTGGTCGTGATGGACCACAAAGGCTTAATCCATAACCTTGAGCCATAATTATTTTATAAAAATTAAACAAAAATCTGAAAAATGTTAAAATTGATGGTTTACATTAAATAATCAATCATTATTCAAAAACTATAACCGATCGAGTAACATTTTATGCATGAAAATTATTCGCAATGAATCAGACATGCATAATCCATAACCTAGAGCCATAAGTAGTTTGTAAATATTAAGCAAAACCCTTTAAAATATCATAATGTATGGTTTACATTAAAAATATACCATAAATCAAAAACTAGTTTCTATCGAGAAACACATTATGTATAAAAATTGGTCGTGATGGACCACAAAGGCTTAATCCATAACCTTGAGCCATAATTATTTTATAAAAATTAAACAAAAATCTGAAAAATGTTAAAATTGATGGTTTACATTAAATAATCAATCATTATTCAAAAACTATAACCGATCGAGTAACATTTTATGCATGAAAATTATTCGCAATGAATCAGACATGCATAATCCATAACCTAGAGCCATAAGTAGTTTGTAAATATTAAGCAAAACCCTTTAAAATATCATAATGTATGGTTTACATTAAAAATATACCATAAATCAAAAACTAGTTTCTATCGAGAAACACATTATGTATAAAAATTGGTCGTGATGGACCACAAAGGCTTAATCCATAACCTTGAGCCATAATTATTTTATAAAAATTAAACAAAAATCTGAAAAATGTTAAAATTGATGGTTTACATTAAATAATCAATCATTATTCAAAAACTATAACCGATCGAGTAACATTTTATGCATGAAAATTATTCGCAATGAATCAGACATGCATAATCCATAACCTAGAGCCATAAGTAGTTTGTAAATATTAAGCAAAACCCTTTAAAATATCATAATGTATGGTTTACATTAAAAATATACCATAAATCAAAAACTAGTTCCTATCGAGAAACACATTATGTATAAAAATTGTTCGTGATGGACCACAAAGGCTTAATCCATAACCTTGAGCCATAATTATTTTATAAAAATTAAACAAAAATCTGAAAAATGTTAAAATTGATGACATTAAATAATCAATCATTATTCAAAAACTATAACCGATCGAGTAACATGTTATGCAAGAATATTGTTTATAATGAACCAAAAATGCATAATCCATAATCAGTTCGAATCCATTTTCTCGAAATAAAGATGTTTTCTGTATTTTGTTGGTATTTGTTGATGTACACAACAATGTTATTGCGATCAATTTTACAAAGTTGAGTCAAAATGTTGCTTTGTTAATGTAGCTGCTCAAGCTTTACGTCTAATTGTAAGAAACGAGACCTTTCTTTTGAACAACAAGAAACGTGACCTAGAAAAAACAAAAAACAAAGTCTGGATTTAGCTGCGTACATTATATATCTTTAAATACATTTGTATAAGGTACATAAATGTTTCGTATAGGATATTTAAAACAACTGTACCTATAATTTAAGCACCCTCTATATGGACCCGATTTCTTGTTCCCCCAACCTGTGAAACCCTAACCCTGTGAACCCTATGTGACTCCCGGAGGTGTCCCGATTATTGCGGGACACCATTCAAGCCATCTGGCGCGTTAGGTTTGCCTTTTTGTCACCTCCCTCACCTGACCGTGAGGGTCTCTATATCGGGTCCATTTATCGATTTTTCGCTCACTGAATTCTCTATTTTCCTCTCCCATCGACGTACGACAATCGCATCTCGACCATATGCGAATATCGTAAGCCGACACTCGGTCATGTGTTTTGTTTCAAACGATAAATAATATGCGTTTGTCATGTTCTAAAGGCAAAGTTAAAAGTTGACGTCATCTCCAAGTCACCTATAACAATAATCATTTTCGCTGATATCGCCACATTCAACGCGTTGTGAGTAACGTTTGTTTTCAATATCTGCTTAGTTGTTCTTCATTCCTTATTCTTAAGTTACCAGGTGTTAGATAAACTTTATCGCATTATTCCCAGGATTGTTATTAATCGTATTGTTTATTTTTTTTTTGTTTTGAATAATACCGTTTTGTGATAATGACGTTTCGTTTTATTTATTTTTAGTTCTAATTTGTTTGATTTTGTTTAATTCTGTTTGATTTGCTTTAAATGCTTTTTAATTCCTTTTTAAAGGTATAATTGTTTGCTCCCAAAATTTTTAACCGATAGATTAACCGAATCAGGCGCTAACGTGTTTATGTTATACGTTCACTTCTCGGTATCCTATTTAAAAACAAA